GTCTTCCCTCTGGCGAACTGCCTTCGTCTTTATGGCCCCTAGCAGTTCGACAGGCCTCGGAGCAATTGTGGAGATCAGCTCTTTCTCAGTTGGGATGTCCCACTCGGCCTTTGTTGGCATTTGGCACTGTCGTGGAGGCGAGGAGCCGTGAATGGCTTAAGCGAGCCGACAAACAATGGAGTCCGCGCACTCTGTCTGGTCGCTTGGTCGGCCCTGCTCCGCAAACTCCTTCCGCCTATGTCGTGCTGTTGGCAGATGACACCTTGTATATATCCTCTTCAGTACATCCAATCACGGCAGTGTCCGGGTCGTTGTCGTCTGCCGCTGCTCTGCCTCCTTGCACCGTTCAACTGAAGCTGTTTCAGGCCTCAGAGCTCGCCTCTCCTTTCCATTTGCCTGAGCTGTACTCTTCAACCCCCCGTTATGGCGCTCTCCGTGCGCTTCGGTCTTCCTCTCCCTATGAGGGGGGGGGTCCACAGTTGTCTTCAGCAGATTCAGCAGATTCAATAGGCAGTGCAGCAAATGTGAATGTCAATGTGAATGTCAACAATGGGCGGCATATACAGCCTTTACCTTCTTCTAGATCAAACCATTCTGGGAGTTCCCACTCGGCCTTATCTGCTTCCCCCATAGGGAGTGTAAGCCCAGTTGTTGGTTTGGAGCCTAGAAGGCAAATCTATGATCAGGCCTCAGGGTTGTTGAAAAAGATCCTCTGCTTGGAAGGTTCAAGGTTGATTAAGTTCCTTCCTCCGCATGAAGATTCAAGACTTCGATGTCTGTCTTCGGGCTTCGGCTTTAGAGTGAGCGTGTCAAGGTTTGCCTCACTTCCCGAGGAACGCCAGCAGCAGATTTTGCAGGATATGGATTCGGAGGCTACATCTGATTCCACCCCGGATCCTGGGTACGTTGACGACATTGCCCCAGGGTTTGAGGAGTTCGTAGACTCCACGTCGAGTAATGACCAGTTTGGTAGTCCGGTTTCGGGGGGAGGTAGTTCAAGCCACATGCCTAACTCCGGGGTAGCAAGCCCAAGCAACATGCCTAACTCCGGGGGAGCTAGCCCAAGTTACCTGCCTATCTCCGGGGGAGGTGGTCAGGGATACTCAGAGGATGAAGGAGCTTGGATCTCAGTTGACTTCAGTCATAGCTCTTCATCTGTTCCGTCCATCCGTGCAGTCGGGCGCGTTAAGTCTGATGCTACAGAAGTTGAGGTTTTGGCTCAGAAAAAACTTGATCAGCATAAACTGGATCGTGCTGATGTACTTGAGGTGGTCCTTAAGCTGTGGGAGACCCAAGTAGAGGTTCAGGGGGCTAGACCTTTTCAGACCAGTCTTTCGTTGGGACCTGGTGAGTGTGGAAAGTTGAGCTCAGGGCGATGGACTTCTGGTGCGTTTGTTCACGGTGGGGTTGCAGGTATAACCAAGACCTCCATTGCGTACCCTGAAACCACCAAATTCATGTGTAAGGCGTTGAAGCGTCGGACAGGCCCGCCCTTTGCTTCCGTGACCGTCCTCGTCAATTGCCACTCTGAGCAACATGTGGACTCTCATAATGAAGTCACTAGTCACAACGTGGTTTGGAATGTGGCGGAACCCCCTGATGTGCCAGGAGTTCGATTTGACAAAGGGATTTCCCCACTTCCATCCAATGCCTGGGTTACGCTCCCTCCCAGAGTGCCCCACAGTAGTATGCTTTGCAATGGTTTGAGGATCCTAGTTGTAGGATACACCCCACGAAGTATGGACAAACTAGGACCCCAACATCTCCACTCTAAAGGGTCTGGGGTTTAGCCTGCCTGATTTCCCTCTTGTCTCAGTGCAAGCAGCTGCTGTGGAGTGCCGTGGCTCTTTGGAGTCTCCTTCCCTTGGAACATCGGAAGAAGAGATCGAATGGGAGACCTCAGTCTCGGTTTCAGCTGATCCAGAAGATTTGATTCCTTTCCTCGGGGCATGTTTAGACGAGTCCATGACTTAAAAACTCATTTTGGCCGCAGTGTAGTGCATCTCTCGCATGAGGGTGTGGTTGATGACGCCTATGGGCCCCTTCTTGCTACTTTGCAAACTTGGGGGGAGGACGCAGAGCTCCAACTTCAGGGCGAGGCTAACTGGAGAGCCAAGCACGGAGACTTGGAGTTCCAGGTTCGCGCGGTTCCTCAAGTACACGCGGAAGGGGAAGCATCGCCTCCTTCAGGGCTTCTGCACACCCGTTTAGTCTCCAATGAGGAAGTTCGTGAGAATCTGTATGCTTGGAAGAGCGCGATGGAGAAGGAGTGTCAGTCCTTGATCGAGAAGGGTGCCATTGAACCAGTCTCGGAAGATCAAGTCCAGGCTTGGATTTCCAGCGGGGAACAGGTCGAGGTGCTTCCAGGTCGCGGGGTGGCCAGTGAGAAGCCACAGCCTGGCGCTGCCCATCGGAAAAAATATAGGGCCGTAATATGTGGCAACTTCCAAGCTCCGCACCCCGATCGTTCCAAAGAAACTCTATACGCCGGCGGAGCCGATTCTGTTTCGATCCGTACCTGTCTTAGATGGGCTGGTTTAAGGAATGCCGGCGCTTCCATAGTTGACGTGAAAACCGCTTTCCTGAACGCTCCTGTCGATGCCTCTGAATCAAAATACCTAATCTGCAATCCTCCTCGACATATGGTCATGGCTGGGGTTGTTCCCCAACGAACAAGGTGGCGAGCGCACGGTGCCCTATATGGGCTGTTGACTAGCCCCAGGGCTTGGTCAAAGGAGAGGGATGGCCGAATGAGAAAGTTCCGGTGGCAGTGCTCTGGAACCGAGCGGCGTCTTCTTCAGTGCATTGCCGACCCTAACGTCTGGCGTTTGGTGGATTGCAATGATCAGGTACTGGGTTTGGTCACCTGCTATGTTGACGATCTTCTAGTGTTAGGAAGTCGCTCAGAGCAGGAAGCCTTTTTGAGTCGTCTCAGGGCCACCTGGGAGACAAGCGATCCTTCTCACGCCGAGGAAGGCTTGACCACATATTGTGGACTTGAACTTGTTCAAACTGCTGAAGGCCTGGTCGCCTCACAGTCGAGGTACGTCAATGAGCTCCTCCTCCGACACTCTGAGGTGTTAGCATCGAGCACGTCTCCCTGTTCATCATGGCGCGATGCGTTTGACGATTCGGAGTCGAAAGAGGACCCTCTGGAGCCAGCGGTAGTGAGACAAGCGCAGTCACTCTGCGGAGAGCTCCTATGGCTCTCCGTTAGAGCCAGGCCTGAAATATCATTTTCTATCGCTAGGATGGCACAGCTGACGACTCGTCGGCCTCATGATGCCATTTTGATTGGCCAAGGGATTTTGAAGTATCTCCGGGCGTTTCCCAATTCAGGCATCTTGTTCGGTCAAGCTCCTGGAGGCTTGGGAATTCATGGGGCCTTTACGAGACCTGTGGATGAGAAGCTGGTCCAAGTTTTCGCGGACAGCTCGCTGGGACCAGCGTCTGGTCGCAGTCACCAAGGGCTCATTGTGCAATGGGCGGGGGTCCCCATCAGTTGGGAAAGCTCCCGTCAGTCTCTAGTGAGCCTCAGCACAGCTGAATCCGAACTCATAGCTGTGGTCTCCGGTGCTCAAATGGGCGATGCCGTTGCCTCCTTGATAAGCGAAATCTTAGGCGTAGACCCTGAGGTCCAACTACTTGGGGATAACCAAGCATGTATTGCCATAGTATCGGGTCCTCCCACGTCGTGGAGAAGCAGGCACCTCAGACTAAGGGCTGCGGCTTTAAGGGAATGCCTAGACAGCGGTCAATGGACCCTGGTCCATCTGCCAGGGCAGTTCTTGCCGGCAGATCTTCTTACAAAGGCTTTAGGCGTCACGCGGTTTCAGTATCTTCTTCCACTGTGTGGGGTCTATGTACCTAAGCCAGTTGTGTGCAAGTTAAGTTCGTCTAGCGAAGGCAAGGCGGACTCGAAGGTCCAGGGGCGCTGGAAGGCTCTAGGCATCCTACTTCTTGCCATCTGCGTCTCCCAACTTTTGAAGGGTCAAGCATCTCCGGCTGGGGAGGAAGAGGGATCCACCTGGCTTCTATGCCTCATCATAGGCGTGATTCTAGCTTGGGAGGGTTGTAAGCTAGGGCTTTCCGCATGTGCCCGTTCTTTGCGATGCGTGAGGAGAATCTCTGCTCCTCAAGCTCCAGGGGTTGGATGTCAGACTGACCCAGTTGCTCCACCTCCCCCCTTAACCCGTGTCGTGCAGGTACCTCAACCCATTCCGGAAGGTCTAGAAGCCTTTTTTACAGCGACAGGCGAGCGCTGGCATCAAGATTCACAATGCCCAGATGTGCGTACTCGTATCACTAGACGATTTCTTCCATGCGAGCGCTGTACTGCTCACCACCTAGTCTTGCAACCACCTGCACAGCCCGGATCCCTAGCCCAGCATGTGCCGCCACCTCCCCAAGTAAGAAGGCGACGTCCAAGGTAACGAGCTAGGAAGTAATCAGCTGTCATAGGGTCGAGCCATAAGGGATTCGGTCAAAAGTCGTTCCCTTTCCTTTTCTCCTAAGATTAATCCCTGCGCCCAGCACTTTGCCGATTAAGGTTTGTTACAGGAAGTGGTTCTCTCAAGGAGTTATCAAGGTTTACCCCTGCATTTATAGGGAGGCTGCCCTGTTTACTTTTCGTCTTGTTGTTGTGATTTGTTAGAAGAAGGGTCTTGAGTCAAGATCGTCTGAAGGTGCGTGACGCCTTTAAAAGGCGGGAACACCCAGACGTGGCCATTTCAATTGCTCAGCAACGTTGCTGAGGGGGGAGTGTGTGTCCAGTAGTGGCATGCACCCCTCTGCGCAAGGGATGACACGTACTGCAACACGCAGACCCTTTTTAGCATCAAGCTGAGAAACAACTTTCTGTGTGAGAGGTGCGAGGGTTTGCATTCTATTTGTAGGTGCTGACGTCCTCTATCCCATCAAAACTAATAAGGAATATATTGATTTGGGGTCTATATTGGGGTCCCCCTATTTTGGGCAATTCCTATTTGCTGCCTGGCTGCTGCAAGGCCTTGGACTGGGAGCCTCTGAAGAGCTTGCCTTGCATGGGCGACCCGCAGCAACACAGATGATGGTCTCACAGAAATAAACAGTTCTGATACGTCCGTGCAAGGAGCAGAGACAATACTAATAGACTTAAAAAGAATGATGACAACGGGCGATGAGAACAAGAATGATGGTGCTACGGGCTATCATGATGCCATGATGGCACGCGCCGCGAGGTACAACAATGCACCACACGCACAATCCGAATTCATCAATCGAGGTCAGAAACCGTTTTGCAGCCTGTGAAGACTAGAAATGCAAATGTAGAGTATTGTGAGGTTGGCAAGTGGTGCGATGAAGAGAAGGAGCTTTCAGATCCGGATGAATGGAACAGAAGCGCGAAGAACAGCCTCAGCATCGTAACAGGAGGCGTGATGAGATGAAAGGGCTTCAATCACAGGCCAAGACGCCGAACTCCGTGCCCTCCACATTCCTGGGCCAATGCCAGGATGGCAATTTAAATCACCGCGTGGTTTCCTTATGGTCCTTAGGAACTCATACCCTTGTAGAGAATGGAGAAAGGTATGACAATTCATGTTCAGAACACCCGAAACGGTAGAAAAGGACGAAATCATTACTCAGCAATCATAGAGAGTCATGCCATCTCGGAAGTCCTTGCTGGCCGCCGCCTCGATGCAGGTGATGATTGCTTGCGGAGCCGCTTCGCCAGCTCGTAGCTTCATGTACTCCTGTAGGCTTCCAGAAAGTAGGAGGGAATGACTTTTGAGGTTTTGGGCCCTCCTGTGATCCTAGTCACCCTGAAGCGCATTCCCTTCAGTCTTTGAAACGTCGAACCACTTGCCCTTGCCGTGCACAGCATGCAATTGCATGGCTGTAGCATTGGTAGTGAGGGTGGAAAATGACGGCCAAATACTTCGGACGTGCGGCTATTGGACTTTCAACCTCTTGCTGATACAGCGTTTGCATACACAGACGACCATAATTTGGACGAGCGACACAGGCAAGGCAGAAAGGCAAAATGGTAGCAGAAACCCTAAACCCTAAATAGTAGTTTCCATTCTATTTTCCATGATCCCAATATAACTCCAATATCACCCCAATAGGTGTAAGTGGCAGGCGCCCTCTAGACTTGGACCCCAAGAACCCTGCGCTGCCCTGATAACATCTCAAACTTACTCATGATAAGTAGGGATACGGGAATGTAAATCCTATATACTCCCTGTATACTATATTCCCTGACTCCCTAAACCCAAATCCCTAAACCCCAAATAGAAGTCTCCATTTTCTTTTCCATTGTCCCTATATATTCCCTTAGTCCCTACTAACCCCAGTAAGCAAACCCTTTGCCTGATCCGCATCTCTGAACTGCTTCAAGGCTTTACCCTGAAACTGTCCAAATTCGATTTTATCCCATTGCTTACTGGGGGTTAGCAGGGAATGAGGGAATGGATTGTAAAGGGATAACGGGAAAGAAAATGAAACTACTATTTGGGGTTTAGGGTCTAGGGTTTAGGGAGTCAGGGAGTTTAGTATATTGGGATAATATATGGAGTATATTTTCACATTCTCTACTAACCACCGGTAAGTTTGGCATGTGATTCTCAGCCTTGCGCTTGGCGTCCAGCGCATCTGAGCTGGTCGCTTTTGCCTTGCCATTGCCTGGTCTTCAAACGTTCCGCAATTAGGTAGTTTCCCCAAATAAGGGAACCCCAATATAGATCCTAAAATACTATAGTCCTTATCAATAGGGACCCCCAAAATGGTACCCCTAATTTTGGGAAACCCCCATTAAGCCAGGGTTCAAGTCTAAAGCGCGCAGCACGATCCAGGCTATCCATCATAGTATCGAGGACATAGGGTGGGCAAGTAAGCTTCGCCTTTAGGCTATGCGTTTTACCTGTCCAAGCTGTCCAGGTTTTACATTGTCCTCTTGTGCCTTATGCTGCTTGGGTTCTTGTTCTTCTTCTCCTGCTTCTTCTACTGTTTCTGCTTCTATTTCTGTTGTTCTTCTTTTTGAGGCAGTGTCTCCGCTCAGTTACAATCATGGTTTATATCATAGAATGGCCTCCATCCCCATGTACTTACCAACGATCCACCTCACATGCAGCCAAGTCTCAGAGCCTTCGAGTCGCCAGGTCAACGCTGAGCTGGCCGAGATTTCGCTAGGAGAACCCACTGACGACTACGAACTCCTATAGCAGTACACCAGCTACCCCTGGCGGTGCCCTAGCTTACCCAAGACAGTGCTCGTCTTCCAACCATTGATGACATTCTATACTGGGCCTAAGCTCTTCCGACTTCCCAGCTGGAACCTTCACGAAAACTCTCAACAAAGTGAGGAAGGGACATCTTCTTGTCAGGTCTTCATGCGAAACCAGCCTGCCGCGCTGCGAAGTTCACAGCAGCCTCTGGCCAGATACAGTCAGGGGGAGAGGGTTCGTGCGAGTTTGTTGCGCAACGAATCCCAGCATAATTCTAACTTCGGAGCAACAAGATCTGACATGTCTCATCAGCATACGCCACAAATCTGGTGCCCTTCTCATAGGGATCCCATTGCTTGGAGGCCTTCCTCAACCTGAACAATGCTTCCCTTCAGATTCGGTTGTAATTGCGAAGTTGCAGGCCCATCTGGGGATGACTTAGACCAGGGAGTCCGTGTACCCCACCACAAGTAGCGGGATTTATGCGAACCCCAGGTTCTCTAGATACACAAAACACGGAATCAACAAAGCTTCCGATACAAACAAACAGCAAGAAAGGACCTCTCTCGTGGTCATGGCACTCCTACCCGATCTTGGCACGTGTTGTAGGTATACGCACACACGCTGTGTACATGCTGAATACACACAAATCTCTACAAGGTTTACCCTTGGGCGTAATATGCCACTTGCGAATCTCCAGGCCTGAACTACAGCAGCATTGTCACCTTCGAGCACCTGATCGAAGATGCCGACCTCCGAGGAACGACATGCCAATCAAAATCCCGCTTATCGTTCTCACCATACGCCTATGTGTGTGTGTCAGCGAATATGGCAACAAATTCAGTGCACACAAGGCTCAGGTGTGTTAGCATGCTGCAAGATGTTTCAGGCACGACGACAGAAGTATTGCAACACAAGCCTGATGACTCCTACAACTGCCACATGCTGTTTCGAGCCCACTCGAAGCGAACCTTGAGGGCTTGGGCTGCTTTCACAGGAGCTCCGCGGCACATGAAATCCACGCTGGGGTCCTTGGATTGAGACTGCTTCTGCAACGGGAGATCCGGAACGCAATCCCCCAGATGCGTGTACTCATCTGCCCTCTGATGAAGTGTAATGTATGTCGTCCTTGGGGCTTGGGCTTACAATGGCTTGTGATTCGCGGCATTGAGCCAGTACCCAGCCAGAGGTAACAAGGCCCCAACACTCTCCTCTACACTACAGATCTGAATCTCTCCGCCACCTCCCACCCCTGTCAGGATTCCCAGCATCAAGAGAATTATTGTTGCCTCCACGGCCACCGCCTTGAAGCCCACACTGAGACCCGAGCTGCGCCAATGAGTCGCGGAAGGCGCTGGGTGCCGCCGGCTCCAGGGAGGAGTCCCAGGTTCACCTCAACCCCACAGCTAAGGCTAAGCAGACGAATAATGACAAATGGAAGAACTGGAAACAATCAGCAGGAAAACATGTAGCAGTATTGACTCAGTCTGTACAGCACAATTTGCATGATGGTTTAAGAGAATACTGATACTGGCACCCACGGCAAGAACAAGGGAATCAACGAGAAGAGCAATGCGGATGCTGGAAACAGTAGTTACGAGATGTTACGAGCATAACATAACGGATTATTCCAGCATTTGTGGCTTGCTGTTCTGTTTCTCGCCCTGCGCAGAAGCAATGGGAGAAGTGCTGCTGCCGGAAAATCCAAGGTCAACCATCCTCTGTTGGCACGGATGTCGCAGAGCTTGATGGTCTGGATATGTCTTGAGTGTGTGGCGCAAGTTCATGAAGGCATCTTGCTGGTCTTAGCATTTTTCCACTTAGCCATCCGTACTACGCTCTTTGCTGCTGCGGTGGGGGGTGTCAATAGCTCCACCGAAAAGTCGCAAGTCGTTAATCATTCTACTCCTTGGATGATGCACAAACTTAGCATGCTCAGGTTTTTCTGCAAAAGGTAATCATCGGCACCCTCAGCGTGGATTCATGAGAGAGGCAAACAATTTTGGTTGCAAGGTTTCTGCGAAAGCTGTAAGAAGCCCTGGCATTTTTCTGTGGTTTACCGCCTACTGCCTGTTACCTGGTTGCCTGTTGACCTGGATCGGAAACTTGGCTCTGTCTTAGAATGAAGGTTTCTGATCGATGTTCAGAGGCAGACGCAAGCCCCAGAAGCCATAAGCACATGTTGCAAGACCTGCACGACTCCTTGAATCGCCTCACTGGGCCCCTTGTCGGAATCAAATTTCAAAAAGCATTATTGTTTTAAAAGCACGACCATCAGCAACACAAGCCAAAAATCCCCACAAACCCCGTCTAGCCTCCATAGTTAACCCTCCAAAGAAGCAAGGATACTAGTATAGCGGTTTCCATGTTCTTTTCCGCACATCATATATATATATATACGGGTACCTATATCTCCTATACAACCCTATATATCCCTACTGTATCCCCTATACATCCCTATATATCCCTGCATATCCCTATATTGACAGACAAGGTCACCTCAGGAAGTCCAACCTGCGGAGGCAAAGGTGCATAGAGGCCGAGGAAGAAAGGTTCTCAAGGTTGTTGACCGGCTTAAGGGTTTCAGGGTTCAAGGGTTTGAGGGTTTACGGTTGCACGGGAGGGTTTAAGGGTTTCAGGGTTTGAGGGTTTAGGGTTTGACTGTTTAAGGGTTTAGGGTGTAAGGGTTCCCCACCACAGGGTTAGGGCTTCAGGCTTGGGACTTCAGATCTAAGGCTTTGGAGTTAGGGACTGAGTGTCTAGGTTGAGGGTTTTGTTGTTCTTCCGTGTCCTGTACCTCTACGTACTGGTGCTTAAGGGGGAGTGGGGGAATGAATATAGGTACCATCGCAGGGGTATACATGGGGATTGTAGAGGGGTTATCATAGGGGGTCCACTCTCCCTCTCTCCCTGAAGCACCGGTAAATCTATGGACGCCTTTATAAACAGTGGGCCCCAGCATAGACCAGATTATATTGTTGTAAAGAAAATAGATCCTGATTTGTTGAAAACTTCAATCCCTATGAACCACTACCATATAGGGGAACCCACCCTATTCCCCCCCAAGGCGCCCCCCGTGGTGTGGGGTTGGATTAGGCCTTGGGGATTGAGTAAAATCATACATGAGGACTCATGTGCAGAACTACAGGAAAAGACACGATACTAAGATGTTTCAGAAGATGGAAGTATAGAACTTATAGGGTTTTCAGAGAATTCCGATATCATATGGAGATTTGTAGATTCATACGGAGGCTGCTTCTGATTTTATACGGCCCGAAAGCAAACCAACCCAAGCCCCTCATTCTTTGGGACGATGGGGTGGCTAGAGCACACAGCGCACAATCATACATCCCTGTACATCCCTAAGTATACTACATCTCCCATACATCCCTGTACATGCCCAGCCCTAAACCCTGAAGCTTAACCCCTAAACCCCTAAACACTAAAACCCTCAAGCCCTAAAGCCTAAACCCTAAGCCTGATATGTCCCTCAAAGCCTGCATTCACCCCCATCTTGGCCTGGGAGCGCGCGCTGGCCAGGCGCCAGTGGCAACCCAAGGCAACTTCGCAGCCGCCTCCAAACTGCTGGAATTCAGGGATTGTAGGGCTTAATTTGGGGTATAGGATTTAGGACTTAAGATTTAGGGCGAAGTGTTTACTGTTTGGTTCAGATTTGTTGGATGTGGGCTGTGAGGTATAACCCCATGTAGTCCCTACGTTTAGCTTTCTATCCCATATAACCCCTTGTGACGGTTGGATTGGGTTTAGGGTCTCAAGGTTGTAGCGCTGTAGAGCCTTAGGGCTTACTCTGCGGGGCCTTGGAGTTAGGTTGTATAGTACATCCCCTTAATAGCCCCATGATAACCCAATTGTAATCCTTATACACATGATCCCTGACCGCTTCGCAACCCCATTGGGTATGGGTGTATATGTTGTTGAGGAGCAAATTAGCAAGCTAACATGTTCAGAGACTTGTCAGATGAGAGCTTGGGATCCAAGGCGAACACTCCTGATTTGGCAGCCGAAGAATAATTGTCTCAGGCCGATTGTATAGCCTACCCGTCATCGAACGACCATATCCTAATAGCAACGGGCGAAGAAAGAATCAGCATCGTTGGAAGTCGCCTCCTAGTGCTACTCCATCAATGGCCGCCACGACTGGCTTGCCGCTAGCTTCGAGAGCATCAATCACCTTGCTGGCACGGTTCTTACAATTGAGAGGCAGAGGGCTGCAAGCGCAGGCAAGGCCTCAAGAATTGAGACAAATAGGTAATGAATCTCTTTACCCATTATGCCCACCCTGACGCACGAGCCTTTCGGGCAGCATCCAAGCGAGAATGGGTGCAACACCCTCACATTAACGCGCTGGCACAGCGCTGAAACAACTCCAATCAGGTGTAATCACAGTAGTGGCTTTCCTCTGGAAGGGTTGAGGTGAAATGCGTTTGCTGAGCCTAACAGGCAACATCAGGCAATGAATCGTCTTCCCAAGCCGCCATAGGCAGAGGTGGTCCCGACATTCCAGTGGAGAATTCGCTGATATCAGCCCCTGAACTCAAGGCTTATCTTGACATGTCCACGTCGCTCATGCATCCAAAGACGATACGCCCACGCAAGCTGTATTGCATGTGGGCCTCTAGCCGGTATGTGACATGGCTTCTGTCTAAAAAGCCACCCAGCTTTTTTCTGCCTGCCATCTGTCAGTGAGCATGGCCCCTGATGCCTGCGCAGAAGGCACCGTGTGCGCCAGTAACGACCACGGCCTTCACCGCGGAGTCCATGCCTATCTCCTCCGATGGGTGTCGGATGGTTAGAAGAAAGGTTCCCTTAGATTTCTGCGGCTTCATACAGCAGGCGATCCAACTTCACCTTGCACTCATCAGTGTCTGCATCCGGATTCAGGGGTTGGGACAGCTTGCAGAAGCCACAGCAACTAAGTCAACAAGTCCACTGTTAATCGAAACAGCTCAGTCCACATCCCTCTGAACCACCCTTGAGTTATCCAAGGACACTCCTTGATGCAGCGGTCAAGGCCATCACGCACTCCGGAACTCAGGGCATTTACCGGCCTGCGAGCATTCAGGTTGCCATAGCAAATATCTGAATCCAGGTGTGTTGGGGCTCTGTAGTCCTTTTGCAGAATGACATGTGAACAACCGAGGGTCATCATCCTGAATTGTTCAGGGTTTGGGTATGAATGTTTATCAGACCTGCATAGTGCCCCTCATACAACCACAAAAATGTAATCATGAGGCCTTCCAGTCGAAAACTGTATTTTCCAGAAACAACTTTTATGTTTCAGAAGTGCCGTCCCTGTCCCTCTAAACGTTGTTGAAAGGGGATTACCACAATTCATCAATGTCCTACAGAACAATTGCTGCCAGACCACTTATTGTCCATGGTTAAGACGGCAACACATGTGCCATCATCTGCCGTGCGCTTTTCGCAGAGCACCTGGCCCTTCATGGCCTCAGCAAGCGATCGAAACTGGTAGGGCAGTTACAGTTGAAACGATACAGTAGAAACCTGAGGAACAGAAGCCAATGCGGAAAACACTGACAATGGTAATCGTAACGTGGAAGAGTGGGCAGCAGGGGTCATAATGAAAACTTATGCATGCTTTGAATGGCAATAATGCACTGTGATTCGCGCTGTCCTCTGAATGTCTCTATATGTTCCAGTAAGAATGTGGCTATGATTCTTGCTGTAACTGTCAGGCCACCTCCGTCCCAGGCGCAGATGGGCCGGGCCGATGCAGTCGGCAGGCTATCTTAAAACCGCCAAGCTGCAGCGAAAGCAGTGCAATGGTGCAGTTGTGTCAGGAAAGGTTGGAAACGCCTGAAATGTTTGTATCCCCCTGCAGGATTAAAATGAAGCATCACTACTGCAGGCACAACATCCGAAGATACCGTACAGGTTCAACTGTGCAGATCCGTGCCAGAACACACTGACCATAATCAGGCTGCGCTTAAAATTTGAGGCGAGTGAGAGGGCCCTTTGAGAGCCTGAAGAACCTTGTATCAGGCTATGCGTGTTGCAGCCCTCCATGGACCTCCTGCCTACATCAAACGCGCAGCAGCAGCTACTGCTTTTGAAATCCAGCATCAATATCTAGGCCGTGATCGCGACAAGCATCCCCATGAAGTCTCGCGGAAAATTGCAATGGGATGAGACCAATGTCAAGTCGCCTGTCAGAGGAGAGGGGATGTTAGGGGAAGTGTCCAAGACCTTACGAGATCGAGCCTGAAATGAGCTTGCTCCCGTCTTTCTCGCCTCAGGAGAATCGTCTTAAGCACAAAATCCTAAAAGTGACCGAAATGAGTAGCTTGATAGTACGTAGACCCATGTTCCTCCTCCGCATGCCTCTTCTCCTCCTCATCATCATCATTGTCATCTTAAGCGCATCACGATTAGCAAGCTGCAGCAGGGTCAGTGGCACCAGCGTTATCAGCAGCTTTTACGCCACAGTCATTAATATCTGGCAGAAACGGACATCTTGAGACATCTTTAACGCACACACGACAAGAGCAAGGCCAGAGGGTGAGTGCTCGGTGTGCTTCCTCGTGTTCATTCTGAGCCATCTCTGCCTGTCTCGCGGGGATGATGAAGGCTGCCTTCACCCTGCTTCTGAAAAGCTGTGCCCGGCTGAACAGACAGGGGCATTGGACTCGCTCGAACATGGATAGAAAGCGTATGTCCCAACACCGCTCTTCCCTGAATCCCAGGTGCCCACCTTCTGTCTCAGCTCGGCCTGATGAGAGGTTCAGTAAGGTCGGGATACTTTGAAGGTCAGAGAAACGGATACCTGTGAATCTGAACAATTTGAAAGATACTGAATCATCAAGGCATACTGGTGAATCAGGGTGACGATAGCTTCATGAATCCGCCACTTTGCCCGGGCTTGAAGACTTCAGCCTTCTCTACATGAGGGACGCCAGGCAAACATACAGCTCGACTACCTCCATGTCCTGTCATACAAGTAGAAAGACATTGGTTACCCTGAAAGTGATGCAAAAGAAAATAGGCTACTGAGACCCCCTTGCGTAAGGATCATCCCGCTACACGTTCAACCGCGACAATGCACAACGCGGACATTTTCTGCGAGCATGCCGAAAAATGAGCTTGATGCTCCAGGCTGGCATGCAACTGTCGGCTACAAATGACAGTGCACTGGAGCATCTGAGTTTGGACTCCTCTGTGAAAGGAAGTCGGCTTCAGCGTGTAGCACCCTTGCGGGTAGCACAGCTGCGTTGTCGCTGTCTGCTGCGGAAACAACTGCTTAAAGCTACATGGCCACCTTGGCATGATGACCTGGCACCTAAAGGCCTAAGAGCAACTAATGATGTTGTGTCGGCTGTCATGCTTGCCCGGATTGATGTTGAATCTGCCCACCGTCGCCTACTGACCTACTGGATGATGGCGTCAGATTTCTCGAAGTCGAACTTCTTGAAGAAGAGGGAAATCCGCTCAGTTCCTGCCGTCGCATATGGCTTGGAAATTGCACAATCCACTCCATGTCCCCAAAGATCCTTTCTCCGCCCGCCAACTTTGAACCCAAGAAGGCTGCTTCGAAAACACAGCCGTCAGAATGAGACGAACTGACAGTTAACAGGTATGTAGGTTCCCAAACGTGAAGTGCCAGCACAGGTCAGCCTTTGACATTGCCCTTTGCATCCAGCTTCAGGGATGCAATCTCCTGACATGGAAATCCACAGATGCTGCATGAATAAGACGCTGTTTCACTGCATGGCTCCTCCTTGAAACGAACTTTGATGCGGCCATCTTGCCCAAAGCTTCCCTCCAACACGCCTGGCACAAGGATGACAGTGATTCTTACAACAAGAGAAAACTCCAGCTGGCAAATGCTTGGGAGCTGTGATTGTGCTCGTGCAATGTTGGGGGTATGGTTCATGACAAGTTGCGTAGCGACCCAGCAGCAAGCTATTCAAGCTAGAGGTACTCAAGTAGGGAAGGCATACAGTCAAGTGGCGTAGCAAACACCGACCACTGCAAGTTACAGTAATTCCCGGCCAGCTTAGCAAACTTTGGGAGGCTGTTTGCCACTTCTCGGCACATGCTCACTGCCGCTGAAACTGCTTCAACGTCATGCTGGTGCCTGAATTCTTGACACGGCCATTGGCTGGTGGCCAAATAAATGCACGGCTACATGGACTTTAAATGTGGATGGCCACGTGGAGCTCGGCTTCCTCGAGCCGCTGTCAGTCGCTGCAATCATTGCCCAGCTTGTCCATAAACCACTGTACCGCGACCAATTGTGGACAGCAGGTCTTTCAATGGCTCAGCTTGCCACGAACCTCCTATCTTCAGCATTCAAGCATGTGCAACACTAAGATCGCGCTACCTGCAGCTAGCATTCTGGCAGTGTTTGAAAGATGCCCCAAACGACGGCCGCCCACAGCAGAGCTCGCAAGATAGGGCTCACAATGGCATCACAGAAGGCCAGTTCACTGCTGTGAAGCACCAATGGCCTGACGTTCTGGACCTCTTTTTTTGAGAACTCACTGGAAATCGTTGAGTAGGCCAGTTCGTCAAGTTCCACAACAAACGTCATGGCGAGGCAATTCAAGATTAAGTCGGTGTTACTTTCAGAGAGGAACACAAAGTATGTCCCCACAAAAGTCAGAACGCAAGCCACAATTAGCTTGGGGACAAGAAGCAGCAAAACTGCCAAGACTTTGTGGCAGAGGAGCAGCGGGTTCGGCTCATCCATCTGCTTAACACGAATGTCAACCACAGCATTCCCCCAAATCCAGATCAGCATAGATAGGGTTTCACCGAACTCGGCCATCATTTGCCCCACAAAGATTGCTGCAGCTGTCCACTGCAGACCCTTGCTTGACTGGATGCTGCAAGCGTCTACCAGCTGGACCTCCTCCCAAAGGTATGAAAGAATCCACAGCTGAACCGCCACGATCAGCACACAAGACATGACCTCGGGGAAGACCACTAAGATCCGGATCACCATCCCCACGGACGAATAGCGCATTGTATGCAGCATGATGAACGCAGAGCTGTAGCTGCACTCGGGGAGGCTCACCGCATACGCGTTCACGTCAGCGACATCACTGTCCTGCTCATCCTCCGACAAGGATTCTGACATGGCTGTCTCAGACACAGACCAGGCTGTCAGCAAGAAGTCAGAGCGCCGCCCAGTCAAAAAACCTTTCGGTGCTCAGGTCTCTTGCTTTTGCTGCTTTGCGGCTTACGTCATCTTGCTGGGCAGTCCATACAACAGACTTGGCTCTACGAGAGCAGACTTGAACCAAAGCAGACTGCCAGAACAAGCGCAGCGCCGCAGCACTTGGTCCATTGGCTTCACCGAACTTGCGGAAGCTGATCTGTTCTTCCCATGTTGTAGCTAGTTACTAGTTGTTCTGCAGCGCCTCAACCTTCCTGATTACCCTCCGCTTTTTGCAAACCCAGCCTGAACTCAGCAAAACCCGGTTTCCCTCTACAACCCCTTTCCAATCCACTGAATGAGACCAGCCTTCCATGCCAGACTGCTCATGAAGCACCTGACGGTAATTGCAGAGGCTTTCGTGATCGGAAAGTTAGTATTGAGGCCTGAAGGTACTCGAAATTGTCTCTGCTAAGCATTGCCAGCGCTACTCTTGTTCTCGGTGGTAGTACATTGGTCTTACGCTCATGGTGGAAAAAAGATTCAGGGCTGAGCACGCCTCTTTGAACATCATAAGCATATCCTCCGGAGTGTAACTTGCAGTACAGCGCCTTTTTGACTTTATCATGCGCATTTTCTGCTTCCTCCGGAGTGTAACTTGCAGTACAGCGCCTTTTTGACTTTATCATGCGCATTTTCTGCTTCATGGGGCTTCAGAGCAAGGTAGCATCTCTCACTCATTCAACTCACCCAGGACCCTATCGCAGGAGCCTGAGAAAGTTGGCTTGGCTTTGGTGGCCCACCACACATGTCATCCTTGCAAAATTGCGTTCAGCTGCCGGCCTTGAGGCCGGTAAAGCTCTGGATGTCAGAGTCCTTGGGCCAATTCCATAGCAATAGAAATTGAAATGAAAACCACAACGCAAACAGTGACAAACATTTGGGGTTAGAGAGTTTGGAGTCCTGCCACTATTTCAGGTGTTGGCTGTTGCGCGGAGGACTGCCAGGTCTCTTGCAGCACTCCACAACATACAGCATGCAGCATGCGGTAGTAGGGCAAAAACCGTGCAGGTAGTTTCAGGGACAGCATTTTTGGCAACTACACTCAGCATGCGAAAGCTTTCATGAGCAGCTCAGCCCCAGGCAGCTTTGAACATATCCTTGCAAATGACCAGGGAAGGGTCCTTTTGCAAGAACTTGGGGCAAAATCACAGGGGATATGAGCGCCTAGAGTCGCCCTATAGAGCTTCTCACAAACAATCCGAACATCTAGCTATGAGTAGGGTAAAGGGTATCGACTCTCCCCCAGAATACCCTGTTGTCCCTTATATTATCCCCAATCATCTCTACCAACCCCTCACCTAACCCCTAACCCCCCGCTATACTATAGGCCCATGGCCTGTGGCTTTGGAATGAAAGCTGCTGATGGTTGGGATCAAAAGTCCTGCTTGTCCACGCGGTCCATAAGGCCTACCTTCTGCTTCATCTTAACGAGCCGAAGGGACTTCAGGTCCTGCCACTGCAAGATTTGTCAGAAGAGGTCGGACAAGCGCCATCCGAAATAATGATGTTGAAGTCATGCATCATAGATGTACTTACTGTAGCAAGCCAATTTTGCAGACCTGTCGCCATGCTATAACAGGATAGCACGGCTAAGAATCAAAGACGAGATACCACACCCATTACCCAGAACTGCTGATGTGTTTGTGCTCCTGGTGCTGTGTCGGAAGGATTCGGTCACATTTAAGGAGCCTACTTGAAGCACCACACTAAACCAGCACACGTTCTGAGGTCAAGGCAGCAGATTGATTGAATGATCGATTGATTGATCGAAGCCTGTGAGCAGTGCTCTGCCTTCCTAGGCAAGGCCAAACTGTCGGACTTCCGCCATGTTGGCAAGGAGCCCATGGCATGAGACCATGCGCTGAAATTGAGCAAGGCTACAGGCATCGTATGGCGCCAGTCTCACGCGCAAGTCAAGCATATGGCATCTGACATAGTCAGCAGAGAAATTTCGCCACCGACTTCGGTTGGCTGCAAACGTGTACACAGTTTGACGGTTCGTGGTAGATCGAGGGAATTGGTTCCACCGCCGCGACACCTCACTTTCAGCACGCCGAGGACGGAACCGCCCCCACTCAGCACTGCGAAAGACTTCTGCAGGCAGCCACATTCACCGCAAAAGGCCCTGCTTTAGAATTTCCTATGTTGCTGCCGCCAGCTTCCACAAAAAAGTCGAAAAGATTTGCCCTCAATTAAATGCACGTGCTCAAAAATCGAGACTCCCGTGTCTGAGCCCCTTATTCCGCGAATGATGATCCTTATTGGGGAGTGAGCGGCATGTCAAAAAATGAATCCAGATCAGACTCTTGACTAGTCCGGTTGGCAATTGTAGGTTTGTGATGGCTCTTGGTCGCATCATGCGCATAGTCACAGTCCTTAACACGAACGATAACAAAAACTGCACATAACTTGGCCTCATCAACGAGCCCGTCGAGGCCCTACCATTGCTGCACTTCACGGTTTGTATCGCCTGAAACTATTCTCAGTGAAGCCCTGATAGTTTTGGCGTTTCGGCAGGTCCTTGGGATCCACGATGCTCAGGACTTTCCCGAAGAAGGCCATGCGGCAATTGGGACCTCTGTAGGCATACTCTAGCCTGCAGCAAAGCAACCCCAGGCACGACTCAGCTCAGATCTTCCCGGCCCACGCAAGGCTGAGGCAGGTGCTGTGGATGTCGAAGTCCAGCTTGGACCCAATCACCAGACTCCTTGAGTCAAAAACGGGAAAAAACCTCAAAGCTTCCTGGCGTTGTAACTTGACAGTTCAGCATCACCTTCAAGCTGGCATGGTTGTCACATGAAACCCAGCAAGCAGACAGGGATCCAAAGAAAATCGCATCTAGCATAATGTTGGAAGACCGTCCAAGTATTCACTCGGATTCAACCCCTCTCAAACCCCATCCAACCTGTCTAACCTGGAAGTGCGCATTCAGTGAGAGCTGCACTGCGAGGAGGCAGAACGACTTACAGTTTGCGTCTACGCACTCAACGCCGTCTCTGATCTTTTAAATCGTTCATGGCACATTGAGGTGGCGCCTAGGATTCTGAAGTCTACGTGGCCATAGTGGTAAACGATTGGTTCTTGTTCAGGTGTCTCACATTGAGCCGGTACCTTGAGGCATGCTTAGCAGAATTGTAGTGTTCAGGCTTTAAGGTGGGAAAATCATCGACATCTGGGAATTAGCGGGGATTGTGAGGATCCTTCTGCTGGACCATTTTGACTGAGCAGGTCCCAATTGATCTCAGGATCAGGCCCCATGGGACACATGACTGGCTTCTCCAACACCAGCAGGGCATAGGCCACTGGCTCCTGCTTAGAAGCGCGGCATCATAACACAACCATAACCCCGACCACCACCACAACGACACATCACAACAACAGAAGAGGAACAACAACAAGAATGGGATAGACTCGAAAAAAATAATAAGAATCCTACTGGAAAGAATGATATTGACATACAGCGATGGGAGACTTTCTCAAAGCCGAGGTACGGTTGCCAACCTCATGCTACGCTGCATGCAGCAAAGATAGTAAGCTGGGTATTGGGCTCTTCGCCAGCTGGGACACTCCTAGGCCCAGAAACAAAACAAATAACATGTGAGCCGTGGTCTTCATTCCCGTTAAATTCTCAGGGCGCACAAGATCCTTCTGCCAGCCTCTTCCCCGAACATCTCATCGTCGCAGCGCTCCACAAAACTTACCACCCTGGAGTTTTAAAGTGCCACCTTGGGTCCTCAAGCATGTTGGCGTCAAACCCAGGTAATCCGGGGAAAATCCCCGGTCATTCCTGCGTCATCCCTGTGAAAAAACGATCTACTCAGCAGAGCTAGAGAGCTCCTCCTGTACCGGTGGTAAGCCGGGTACTTCACACCGCTGGGCCTTGGAACCGCGGGAAATCAACAACTACAAAGACATGGGGGTTTCCCCGGCACTCCAATGACGCGTAGGCGTAGGGGTTGCAGGATTATCGGGCCCCTACTAGAGATCCTAGAGGGGTTGTTCTGGGAAACTGTCACACATTTATGCAAAAACTGGGGGGGGGGAGGTGATGGATGAAGCAAGCAACTGCATAGGGTTCTAAAGGGAACTTGTACTGTTTCTAATCTGGCAAACTTCTCATGCGGCCTCCAGCGTCAAGCCTGAACATGCATGTTGAGCTGACCTTGCTCACGGTGCCCGTTGCAAACACCCACTGCGAGTGTGGGTGGCTCATCATCAGGGGTACCTTGTAAGGGTTGGTCTCATGCAAGATTCAGAGTGTATGAAGGGAACGGGTGCCTATGTACAAGCACAATGACTTCTCTCGCGGCTTGCATCACTCCTGTGCCTCACAACTATGGTAAAGCGCGAGCGGTTTGGTTCTTGGAGATATGAGATTACTGCTCCAGCTTCCATGACCTCGTAACTTGGGAAGGCAGAATTGAGCTTTGGGAGAAGGTTCGTGGTTCAGGCCAGCAAAAGGCCCGACGTGAGGTCTGTCTCTGAGATCCTAGCCAACCAGGAGAGCAGATACAGGACACGATCCCGATCCTGCCGAAGATACACGTGGCGGTTTCCATAAATCAGGGGTCCCTTTGTGGGTCCTGCTGGTGTAAACCAGCAG